ATATATATATATATATATATATATATTATTTATATTTTATTTAACTTTTCGAATTATTTGAATACTATTTGTTGATGATTTTATTAACAACTAATATATATTTATATAGACAATATCTAGATCATTAATCAAAGTACTCATGCTACCGCGCAACGCACGGTTCCCATACTAATATTATTAAAGCTAAAAACAAGTAACTGAACAATAATTTATATTGATAAGAATTCTTATCATGCATGCTCCTAATTTTTTATACATTTGCCTTGAAGTATCAGATTATCATTTCACGTATCTAAATAGTACTTGTAAATAAGAAAATATTATTATCCAAATATAATTGTTTGAATTATTTGAAACGTCCCATACGAAAACAACGTTTAAGTTGACGTCTTCATGCACACGACAAAGTTTGGACCTACAAAGACTTTTATGTGTAAACAAATTTATTTTTAAACGTTGTTTATCTATACTATATTATAAAACATTTGACAAAAACTTTTAAAAACCATTTTTTAAGCATGAAGTACTGATTATTAATGCATATTACTTAAAAATCAAGATTACAAGTAAATTATGCGTAAGTACAACTTATTAAAGCTTCATGTTTAAATTCGTGTAATTAACTACATATAAACATAATCAAATAGAGGATAAATATCTCACTTTAAATATAAAAATCTAAAATATAAATTAGGATAATCATTGAGTTCTAACAAACTACTTAATTATTATCTTTATAGAAAATTATATTATTAAACCATAAATTAAAAAAAAAGAGTTAAAGAAATACATAAAAAATGAGAAATTTTAAATAGTTGGTTTGATGCTAATATCAATAATTTTTTTTAATTTTTTTAATATATCTTCATATCAATATTTTATTCAAAAATAAAAATATTATCGTCTTCTCAAAACCACATAAAACTATATTATAACATCAATTAAGACAAAAAAAAATTAAAATCGAGATGTATATCGCTGCATTGTGCGAGTACTCTTCTAGTTGTATCAAATACTTGTTCAATAAATATGTATCAAAAGAATGAGAAAAGAGACTCAATATTACAAGATAGCAAAAAGGGTAAAAAAAAAGTCACTACTAGTGGCAGATCCAAAATTTCTGACTTTTTAACTCGGTTTGTTGACCCCTGTCATAAATCCGTCCGTCGGTCATCCACTATATATTGATTTTAATTACTTTTGTATTTCTTTTCCTAATCTGATAAATGAAAGATAGAAACTAATTAATGAAATTAATATTCTAAATATATGTCGGTAATGAGTCACTAATGTTAAAGGATGTTTTTAAATCTGATAAATTACCGATGAAAATGAATTGATTAATAAAATCTATACTATATTATAAAGCATTTGGCTAAAACTCTTAAAAACTCTTAAAACTCTTAAAAACTCTTAAAACTCTTAAAAACTCTTAAACTCGTTCATCCCTAAACGATTTCATCCCTATCCGATTTCATCCCATATCTGAATTCGTGTAACTAACTGCAGATAAACACAATCAAATACATGATAAACATCTCAT